AGAATTGGACTGTTTATTCTTGTAGTTCCTCAAACCAAACCTCCCCAAGCTACAATTGGACTGTTTATTATTGTAGTTCCTCAAACCAAACCTCCCCAAGCTAAAATTGGACTGTTTATTATTGTAGTTCCTCAAACCAAACCTCCCCAAGCTAAAATTGGACTGTTTATTATTGTAGTTCCTCAAACCAAACCTCCCCGAGCTACAATTGGACTGTTTATTCTTGTAGTTCCTCAAACCAAACCTCCCCGAGCTAGATATGGGCTGTTTTTTGTTCTTGTAATCATGAAAAAATATATTTTCTTGTATTGCCATTCTACTATTAAAGATTAAGGTGTCATTTGAAGAATGGTTATCGATAAATACAGTAAAAATTTTCTAATATATAAGAATTAACTTCAATTATGTGTGTGTGGTGGGGGGGTGAACCAATTTTATCCTGCTGTCATTAGAAACATTTAATGGATAATTATTTCAAAAATAATATTCAATAAGAACGAAAGGTTTGAAACTGTTGTTTTAATTAAAGGTGACTGATGTCAGCTACAACATTTGGGCAGAAAACGTTTTCTGCTAAAGCTCCTGACAAAGGAAGTTTTCCTTTAGATCATGAAGGTGAGTTTGTTATACAGGAGAATGTGTAACTGCTCTGTGCGAGAAGCACGAACAGTATCTTTTCATTGCAAATATTAGAAACGTTCAGGTCAATATGCTCGTACGGGGATGTGTAATTGATATCGCATGACTTACTTTTACGGTTATAAGTAGTTTTTTTTTTACTTTAAATTATTTGTTTCTTTGCTAGAAAAACCACTCCAGTTAGTTTTGTAGGGAGCCACGCAGATTTGTGAAAATTCTCAACTGTAGAATTTTAGTACATACGTACAAACATTTAAAAGTGCATACATCTAAACCTTAGAATCTTTTATCTGTCATCATCCAGGTGAATCCTGATATTAAACGAAAAGCTTATTGGGGCAGTGACGTGGGACTAAACAAACTATAGATCTGAAATGCAATTTTTTTATATATGTCTGATTTTGAGCTGCAATGGACAAATTTAGAGGAATGTGACAAGCAAAAAATGCTTCATATTAACTTACTTTTATAACAGTTGTTAGGCTGATTGATTTTCCAGTATTTCTCTGGCTTTTGACATTTAAAACATAACCATACACACAGATATATGTATCCTTTTAATTCATAAACCCACAGTCACACAGATACAGTACCAAACATATTTAAATTAATGCGACATTATTGTTACATTTCTTTTGTCAACAGTAAGATCCCAGTGTAGTTTGACTACCAGCTGTAGGAAGAAAATACAGTATAATAACAAAAGCTTTAAACTGTAGTAGTATATTGTTTGTCAGTCAGTCAGTAGACACTAAAATGACATCTCATAAGGGACGCTTAACGTTGCAGTTTGTACTGTCGTAATGTCAGTAAAACGTGTGTATGCCATGAATAACGAGAAGAAATATGCATTGTATAGGCTATAACACTGCATGACATATGAACTTCAAAAGCAAGAAATAAATGTATTTTTTACTCCTAATTTTTGTGAAACTTTTTATGTTTTGAAATTAGTGTGTTTGTTTTATGTTTAACTGCAACTTTGTGTGTTTTTAAGACCTCATTTTAGTTACATTCATATTACAGGTGAATGCAAGAAGCATATGTTGAAATATCTACTTTGCTTGAGACAAAATAATAATAACAACACACCTTGTAGGTTGTTCGCCAAGGATTATCTTCAGTGTCGAATGGATAAGTAAGATTTTTGTAATTAACTGGGTTTATATTATTGTTGTCTTGTTGCTATCGCTTGCTAAGTTTTATTTTTTACAGTTTATTCTGTTTTAATAAAATCTTCATTACCATCCATAACGAAAAGAATAACGTGAGTTAATAATGTTCTAGCATCTCTTTCTCAGAATCTCTTCTTACTCCAAGCGGCTAGCAAAGATTAATATGTAACAGACTAAGACACAAACAAAAAGCTGCTACAACCAGAGTTGAAACACAAAAACTAACTTATTAAACTTGGACAACCACATAATTCAAAAATGAAACTTTTGAACACTTAAAATACAACATTTATATCTCCCTAAACACAGTTAATAAGTATGTGCTTGACCAGGACTTGCTACTATAATTAAAGAACAATATACCGTAAATATAAGGGTTAATATTTCAGTAAATAAAAGAATTAGGAAAAATAACCAGTAGAATAAAAAAAATTGAATTCCATAGTATTATTCTGTATTTACACAACTACAAAATCACCTACAACATTGAATAATAATTAGTAATAACACTTTTCAGCTATCTATAGTTTTTATCTAGTCATTAGACCACTACATTACATCTCATGTGACCATAAATTTACATAATATTTCTCAACATTTATAATATCTGTATGTCACTGCTAGGGAAAGCTTGTGTCAATTTCTTAATACGTACATACTTAAAATCAACGTGATAAGTTGGAAGATGAGTTAGCACTTTAGTAACTAAAATTTCGTAGCTAAACTAAAGGTAAAAGAAATAATAAATTAACAGTAAATAAAATAAAAACACTGTACATTTATTTTATTAGTGGAGATAAGAATCCTAGGCTGTTAACACTACTAGGCACTTTTGTTTACTTAATACTGTAAGGTAAACAAACAATGATTAAGCATACATCATTACACAGTGAATTTTATTTTTAGTTCAAGCACGTGTTTCGATTGATCCTTGTTTTTTATCTTGTAAGCCTGGGTTTTAGTTATACGCGATGAATATAGATCAAGGTTCTGTTGAAATGAGTAACGAAAAAAAATCTAGAATAAAAAAATGCATTGTACAACTGACAAAAATGTTAATTTTGAAATTGAAATAACCAGATTTTTTTTTTGTCTATCAAATACTCAATAAACAAATCAAATCTTTCAGGCAGCTTATGACTAAAGAAGACTTAACGAAGCTTGGATTTTCTGATGTGGAGAAGCATTCTGATAAAGAATAATAGTAAAATATTGAAAATTTTAACAATTAGAAGAGAGTGAAGATAAAATGTCAATAAAAGAAGAACTTGACTTAGTTGAGACGACTGTATATAAAGACGAAGAAGACAATGGCTGTTCTAGTACAGGCCTTTCTCACCAGGAGGCTCTGGCTAAAGTTGAAGTAGGTATATCTGAACTAATAAAGAATGATCCACTTCTTAAATTTCTACCAGAAGATGTGACACTTGAAGAACTAACTTCCCAGATTGCTCTGGAGCATGGTGGTGCCATGACAGTGGTAGTGCAGAGGAAAGATGGTGAGGAATATCCTGTTGTGGTAGAACAAAAAGCCACTGTGGGAAATTTGAAGAAGGCATTACAGAGACATGTAACATTGAAGCAGGTAAATAAGTTTTAAATCTTATTAGTAAGGAAAGTTGTCTCTTGTTTTGAAAGAGAGAAAATGCTTAATTACTGACAAACCTGTGCAATAAAACTCCAAAAACTGAAGGAAGAAGAGTCAGTGCTAAACTCCTATAAGGTGTAAATATATATAAATAAATGAAAAAGAAATACAAATTTCCAACAGATTAAATTTTTGCAAAGCTATTGCAGTAATGTGTGTAATAGGTTGTAGGCCTAACTGTAGAATTAAATTCAGCCTCCTCCCCAAACTTCCATTTCACACCTTTTTAACTTTAATACTATACCACTAAATACTTAACAATAAAATTTGAGTTAATATTTATTAAATATAGTGTTAAAAGTTTCCATATGTTTTAGCATTGGTTTGCCTGTGAGTTGATTAGGTTTTGGTCATCAACATTCATTAATTATACCTGCATACTAGGATTAACATTCATTAATTATCATTGCATACTAGGGTTAACATTCATTAATTATTCCTGCATACTAGGGTTAACATTCATTAATTATTCCTGAATACTATGGTTAACATTTATTAATTATTCCTGCATACTAGGGTTAACATTCATTAATTATTCCTGCATACTAGGGTTAACATTCATTAATTATTCCTGCAAACTAGGGTTAACATTCATAAAACATACTAGGGCAAACAACAACTCTCCTCGCACTTCAGTTTTTTCTTCTCTTTAACATGTTAAATCAATATTGGAGAGCTTTCACAACTTGCAACAAGTTGGAACATTATCATATCAACTTGCAATAAGTTGAAATGTTATCATATCAACTTGCAATAAGTTGAAAGGTTAGCATATCAACTTGCAATAAGTTGAAACGTTATCATATCTACTTGCAATAAGTTGAAACGTTCAACTTATTGCAAGTTGATATGATAAAGG